TATATTTGAGAAATAGGGAAGCGTAAGAGTGATTCAGCGCGTTCATCGGAGCGGACCGGCCTCGCATTGTGGATTAGCCAAGCAAAAATAGGACCAAAAATTGTGCCGATAATAGGAGCAAATGGGGGGAGGGAGGGAAGAAGGGGGAGAGGGGGGGAGGAGGGGAGGGAGACGTAGACGGGCAAGGGAGGAGAGGCCGGAAGGGGGTAGCAGGAGGGGATTGGAGAGGAGTGGAGGAAGGGGATGGAGGAGAGAAAGGAGAGGGAGGAAATGGAGGAGAGGGAGGAGAGGGAGAGGAGAGCGAGAGGGGAACAGAAGCGATCCTCAGGAGAGCTGCAAGAAGTCCTTTTGTTCCCGAGGATTGTTTATCGTCGCGCGGCCCCGAGGGAGCGCACAGCCTCACCTCAGGGGCATTCGCCGGGGCGCCCTGACCTCACCCTGAACGAAAGATCACGCTCGTCTCTTTTTTCCGGGTGCGGCTGCGGCTCCGCGTCTGCTCCGCGCCGTCACGCACTCACGGCACGCTACGTCGTACTCACGTCACCCACTCATGTCACATGCAGAGGCGCTAGGAATGTCGTCATCCTAGCGCAGTCGCTCGATATGACTTCATCCTTTCGGTACATTTTCTAGAAATTACGTCGCCCAACATATCACGAAAAATGGCCTTCCTTATTCAGTAGCTCTTAAAAATGACATGCCTCTTTGTCACTGTCGCTAAAAATGACATCTTTCCGCACAGTCATCAGCTATGACTGTTTTTAGTACAGTCATTAGGAATGCCGTCATTTTTGGAAAAGTTAACTAGAAATGAGATCGCCCTTGTACCGAAGTGAAAGCGAGAATAAAATTACCTCGATACAGTTGCTGAAAAAGTACAGCAATTAAGAAAATATTTACAACTCACGGGCACAACACCCTTTCGTAGTCGCTAGCATGATGTCACAGTCAACACTCTTCAAAAAAAATAACATCATCCTTAAATACAGTTCCTTGCAATGACATCACCCTCTCACAGCCACAGAAAATGACACCGCCCTTGCACAGCCACTAGAAACGACACCACCCTTCAGCGCACACTCTCCCAAGAAATGCCAATGCCCCCTTCGTGTCCTGGGCAGCCATATAAAGGCCACCTTCCCGCGGCCGGTCTGCCACTGGGCATCTCCATCTCCCGAGAGACGCAGCATCTCGAGGTGATTATTAAAGATTAATGCTCATATCCAGCGTCCGACATTTCGACAGCTGACTCCTGTCTGAATGCCGTTTGCTAGCTGCTCTCTCTCTCTCTCTCTCTCTCTCTCTCTCTCTCTCTCTCTCTCTCTCTCTCTCTCTCTCTCTCGCTCTCTCTATGTCTATCTGTTTTGCATCTCTCCTTCTTTATTTTCTTCTCTCCGTTCTCCATTCCATCTCTTCTCCACTCATTATCCTTCAAACCTTCCCTTCACACCTCCTCCTCCTCACATTTATTAGTTTATTTTAAAAGCCTACTATAATTTTGAGAGGAGAGTAATTTCTCGGTTTGTTGTTCCTTCACTTCTCCATCACCTTTATCATTCTTCCTATTTCCCTTGATCATCTGTCATTACACTCACTATGATCGTTCATTGCCACTCTTTATAATTGTTACCTATTTCACCATCTCTCATTCACTATCCTCTTCTTTCTTTCCTCTCATTCATTTACTATTCATCCTCGTATATTTCTCTTGTCTCTTATCCTTCTATTGTAAAGTATTGTCTTCCTCTTCACCTCACTGCTCCCCCTCCTTCCTTCCCTCATGCCTCCACTTCATTAACCTCATTCACCTTCCTTCTCTTACTTCATTCCCTTAATCCTTTATTCTCCTTTTTTCCTTCTCCCTCTCCATACCTCATCCTCACTCACTCTCCCTCCTTCCCTCTCTCCCCTTACTCCCCACGCTCGCTCGTCCTCCCTCTCTCCCTTCCTTCTTTTCCCTTTACCTTTATCATCTTCTCTTCCTATCTCCCCTTACGCCCTCATTACCCTATTCTTTTCCCGCCCTTCTTCCTCTCATCCTTCCTCGCTCCCTCCCTCCCACCNTATATTTATTATATATGTCTATATATATATATATATATATATATATATATTATTATATATATTATATATATATATACACATACACACATATATATATATTATATATATATATATATATATATATAATATATTATATTTATTTATTTATTTTGTATATTATAATAAATATGTATATGTATATAAAATATTATATAATATATATATATATATATTTATATATATGTATATACATATGTATACATACATATACATATATATACATATACATACATATACATACATACATACATACATACATACATACATACATACATACATACATATAAATGGACCAAGACCAAGGTCCAGGACTTTGGGGACTTGTTAGGAGAACCTGTTCAGTCAGTACGTGCTTGCGGCGAGGACACTGAAGTCACAGAGAGTTTTGCATACCTTGGTTGTGTAGTTCATAACTCTGGGCTGTCAGACCATGAAGTCAGCAGATGGATTGGCCTGGCACCAGGGGTCATGAACTCTCTGGACAAGAGTATTTGGAGATGTCGGTACTTGTGCAGAAGTACCAAGCTATGGGTTTTCAAGGCCCTGATAATACCAGTTTTGCTATATGGTAGGGAAACTTGGACATTATCCTGTGCCTTGGAGGCTCGTCTTGAAGCCTTTTGTAATAGGTCCTTGTGCCGGATCATGGGTTACTGTTGGCAGGACCATGTGTCCAACCAACGATTGCACCGTGAGACTGGCACAGGACCTGTTATCTGCACAATCAGTGATCGCCAACTTAGGCTATACAGCCACCTGGCTCGCTTTCCTCAGGATGATCCTGCCCATCAGGTTGTCTCTGTTCGAGACAACCCTGGGTGGAGGAAGCCTGTGGGATGACCTAGGAAGTCGTGGCTTGGGCAGATTGACCAAACCTGCCATGAAGAACTAGAGATGGGCCAAACCCCTGCCTGGCGTCTAGCCATGAGGGATCCTCGTAGGTGGAAGCGAAGGGTGGATGCGGCTATGCGCTACTGTCGGCGTCAGCCCCCTTGATGATGATAATGATGATGCATATATATATATATATATATATATATATATATATATATATATATATATATATATTTATATATTTATATATATTTATTATATATATATTATATATATATATATATATATATATATATATATATATATTTATATATATATATTTATATATATATTTATATATATATATATATATATATATATATATATATATATATATATATATATATATATTATATTTATATATATATATATATATATATATATATATATATATATATTATATATA